GGATCCTTTGAGGAAGGCAGGAACTCTAGGAAGACCATAGGCTCAGTGGGTGAGACTAGTCTAGGGGGGCCCAATCTAGAGGGACCCGGACCCACCTTAAAAGATGCTCTCCAGGCCTGGAAAGACTGGAGCCAGGAGACTGGGGACGAGACAGAGTCATTCTTGGGCATATCTTCATTCATTGATCGGTTTTCCCGATTTAACTCTTCACACTCCCCTGGGTGTGTGCCTGGTCCAGCACTCTCACCTGCTCAGTCTCTAAGGGCAAAGGGGAGAGACAGTACCAAGATTGTCAGCCCTAGGCAGATGCTAGGGTTCTGCCCCTTTCTCACCTCTCCATAGCAGGCTGAGTCACTGTACCTCCTTTGGGAAGCCTGCCACTATCAGTCTAGTAATTTGGCGCCAAAGAAGTTCTCCACACTTACTGGGGTCTCCTTGGGAAGCCAAACCACTGGTCAGGATGAGGCAAGGAAAACCCACAAAACCCAGAGTGTCCCCCCACCCCCACCCCCAGGCCTTTTTTCCATAAATCTTCACAGACTGGACCTTGGATTGACCCCCTATCCCATCCCACCTTGCTTTTTTGGTGGTGGAGGGTGATGGGCAGGTGTAATAGGACCTGGAGACTGAGAAGGACACTGTGGTGGCTCTGCCCCATGGCGGCCGCAGGAGTCTCTTAGGTTCTGTGCCTCCCAGCAGGAACCTGAGCCGAAGGCAGGTGTGTGTGCCTGAGTGCTCCTGGCAGGGGGTCAGATCTGATCAGGTGTGAGACCTAGGCTGTGACAAGCATATCCTGAGGTCACCCACCACAACCCTCCGACTCCTCAGCTGGCGTGGCAGGAGGATAAACAGGGATGACAGCTGTGTTTCTCTCTTCAGTTGGGGTCTAGGGAAGGCAGGTGGGCAGGGTCAGGTCTCATCAGGGTCTCAGCTAGCTCACGTGTAACCAAGACGATGCAACCCAGCATCCCACCTACTTATCCTGTGGGGGAAAGAAAGGTTCCCCGAGAATACAGACCAGGAGGGATGTTTAACCTACTTACAGGGTGAAATTATTTCTAAGGGTTTTAGCATATCTATTTTACTTGCCAAAGTGCTAATTACATGCTGCTCTCATCTATTCATTAAAGCGGGTCCCTATCATGATGGTCTCTATTGGATTTCCTGTTACTGAGCTATCTGAAATCTCTCCCACTCTCAGGCTAGTCAGAAAGCCAATTCCCTCCATCCGCCCCCCACTGCCCCCAGGGTCAAGAGGATGGTGTAGCTAGGAGGGGAGGCAGGGGCATGAGGGCTCTTAAGTCCCTGACTGAAGGTGTGCTAATCTTTCCCTGCACAGACCAATGCATGCCCTCCACTTTAGCGGGCCTCTAGACGCTGCCTGTTGTGAGGACGGTCCAGCCATCTTTGTTCATTAAGTTCCACCAGCCAGAAATTCTCCCCATTCTCACTGCTAGGTTCCTAAGTTCTGCTCCATTTCAAATCCCTCCTCCTAACTGAAGCTTTTCACAGATACCCTGCCCCCAAGCAGGCCCAGTTAAGCTCAGACCAGAAAGACCTTGGCCTTTATTGAGCTGAAGGCAGGTCAGTCTTCCTGGTTTTATCAGAGAAATGAGAAGTGGGAAGAGGCATCTAGAACCTTGGTTGTGTTTTCCTGATCATTGATAGAGGGAAACCAGGTAGTGGGCAGACTGTGTAAGGGAGAACATGGACTTTCTCATTCAGATTCCGGGACAGTTCTACTGGGAGAAGTCTGTGCTCTGGAGACATCTCTACCTGCAAGGGTTCCAGGTCTTTCGAAGCAGCATGCCAAAGTCTAGATACACAGTCTGTTTCTGCCACTTATAAGGCTGGGTTATTTTGGGCAGGACACTAAAGCTCTCTGGCTCTCAGTTTTCTCATTTGTAAAATGGTCACAGCAACTCTGGAGGGTGGGAGAATTCATGGGACGTGCCTAACACCACACAGTATTCCATAAATAGTAACTCTTACATCACTTAAGAGGAGCCTGGTAATGGTAGCATGGTTAAGCGCTCAGCTGCTAACCAAAAGGTTAGTGGTTGGAACTTACCAGCTGCTCTGTGGAAGAAAGATGTGTGCTTCCATTAAGATTTCAGCCTTGGAAACCCTATAGGAAAGTTCTTTCTGTGTTACAGGATCACGGTGAGGCAGAATTGACATGATGGCAGCAAGTTTTATAGAGGATAAGTCACGATGCGAAAACCAGTTGTTACCAGCTTGGCTGGTAACTCATGGTGACCCCATGTGTTGTGCTCTGTAGGATCAGTACTGGAGTGCGAACCAAAAGGTCAGCAGTTCAAACCCACCAGCTGTTCCTTGGAAACCCTATACATAGTCACTATGAGTCGGAACCAACTCACCTGCCCTTAACAACAACAACATAGGTCTTACAAAGAAGCCGTGTGGCACAATGGTTTGAGTGTTGGACCTGCTAACTGAAAGGTTAGTCGTTGGAACCCACCACCTGTTCTGTGAGAGAAAGATGAGTCAGTCTGTCCTATAGAGAGCAGCTTTACTTTGCTCTTTGGGGTCACTATGAGTAGGAACCGATCAGAAGACAGCGAGTAGTGGGCTTTATAGGCCTCAAAACAACCTTGCTGTTATCTTAGAAGGAGGACTGGATGTTTTCCTCTGCTCTGGGTGTGTTTATACTTGGGTGGGCATTGCCCTCATCTCCTCAAGGGAGCTTCTGAATTAGGGACTATTGGTGACAGGTCTTAGGCAATTGGTGTCTGAGAGTTTCCAGAGGCTGATTTAGGGAAGTGGACCTCCCTGCTCTCATTCCTGGGTTGGGGAGAGCTAACCAGAGCCCACTCATTTTGCACCCTGGTAGCTGCGCCCAGTTAGTTCCTTAGGGCTCCTATCTCACTTCGGGCTAGGGAAAGCTCCCCCGCCCCCACTTCAGAACATGCATCTGGAGGCTGCCAAATCCCATGCTGATGGTGTCCCTGGTAACCACTCCAGACTAGTCTCCAATGGCAGGGGCTGGCCAGTCCCTACTTTGGCCTCTCAGGCAGGGGCAGTGAGTGCTGTCGGGCCTTCTGTAAGAAGCAGAGACCCCTCCGGAGGGCCCTGTTGTTGTTGTTTAGTGCCATTGAGTCAGTTTCGACCCATAGTGACCCTGTATAGGGTTTCTGAGAAGCATCTGGTGAGCTTGAACTGCCAACCTTGTGGTTCAAATGGCTTTGCAGTCTGGCACATTAACCCACAGCGCCACGCCAGAGCAGGCTGTAAACCTGCCTTAATTGAAACGTACGGCAGGAGGCCTCCCAGAAGCCATGTCTTTGCAGTTCTTCCACCACTGAATTCTCAGTGTGAGAGATGAACTGTGAATCAAAACAAAGTCATCTCTAGACCTCTAGCTGCCACGGGGGACAAAGGGAAACAGTGTGTGTGACGCAAGGGCAGCTCCCAGTTGGATGGAAGAGGCTTCTTTCCCCACTCTACTCAGGCCTCCCTACCCTGGAAATCACCAGAAAGCTGGGTCGGGGCCACATTATCTTCCAGCTAATCCCCCACTTTCATTTCACCGTCTTATGGGAGTCCGGTAGCGTAGTGATTACGAATCGGGCTGTGAACCTCGCGGTCAGCAGTTCGAAACTACCAGTTGTTCCGTGGGAGAGAGATGAGGCTTTCTGCTCCTGTAAAGATTTACAGCCTCAGAAACCCTGTATAAGGTTGCTATGAGTCAGAACTGATACCACGGCACATAACAACAACAACAACAGCCGCCTGTGAGATAGTTGAAGACTATAGACCTATTTTATTGATGAGGTAGATGAGGCTCAGAGAGGTAGACTGACTTGCACAAGGTCACACAGCCACGATATAGCAGAGCCACTCAGGGTTTGTTCCCCTATGCCCAGGAAACTGCATGCTCGTGCGAGACAGGATGGCACAAACTGTGACCTTAGACCAGTGACTTAACCTTTCTGAACCTTAGTTTTCTCACTTGGAAAATGGGCATAACATTAGTTCCTATCTTTTATAAGGTTCTTGTGTAGATTAAAGGAATCCTGGTGGCACAGTGGTTAAGTGCTTGGCTCCTAAGTAAAAGGTCAAGTCCACCGACTGCTCTGAGGGACACAAAACCTGAAGTCTGCTTCTGTAAAGATTTACAGCCCAGGAAATCCTATGGGACAGTTGTACTTTGTTCTATAGAGTCACACAGAGTCACAACAGAAATCTCTGACAGTTACTCCGCACAGTACTGACATAGGACCACAACGACAATGGTCCTCCCAAGGATATCCACATGCTCGCTGCCCCACTGCAGGTCATGGCCCATACCTGGCCTCAAGATCTGCCGAAGGGGGTTCAGGGCTCAGGTGGAGAACCGGGGCAGAGTGGGGCACTGGGTTCCTCTCCAGGTCGTCTGAGGCCATAGTTTCTAGTTTCTTAACTGTTGCTCCCCGCTTTCTCATGTGGCTCTCAGGTCAGCTCAGGGCCAAGCCAGGGGCTGCTGAGGCTTTGAGTCTTTGACACCCAGAGGAGTATGGGTCAGACTGAGACCAGGAGCTGGGAGGACTGAAGGTCCAGCAGCAGCCTGGCCCGGGGGAGTAGCCTGTCCTTCCTCTGTGTCCCGGGCAGAGTTGGTAGGAATGGGATGGGGTGTCTACCTGCCTTGGAGTAGGTGCAGGTGAAGCCGCCCCCAGGTCCTACAGTCTCCTTCAGTCCTTGCTGACTGTTAACCCTGGCCTTTCGATTGCCCCCTTCAGAGTCGCTGTCCTGATGAGTCCTCTCTGGGATATGGCCCAGGCCAGCAGCTCATCTCTACTGCAGGGCTCCCAGACTGCCTCAACCCTAGTCCCCCAGGACCCAGAGAAGGGGCTCCCATACAAACAATCCCCCCATCCTGGTAATGCATACTTTCATGTACCTCTTTAAGAGCTCCCCAGTAAGGAGGAGAAATGGCGAATCTGGAAGGTGAACGGGCATCTCAAGTCTCAGATGAGCTTGGGGTCCGTGGGGCCGGATCCTTAGCATTTTTAAATTTTATTATGACTGTGTTTGTTTATATATATATATATATATATATTTATAGCTCTATGTGCACACCACCCCCCAGCCCCTTCCCAGCCCTTAGTTTTTCCCTCTGGCTTTCTGTCTGATGGCCGTGTAAGGTAGCACTGTTTGTGTGCTCTTGTCTGACACCGTCTGGGTGCTGCTATTCCTCGTGACTCTCCGGGTCTGCTCAGGGGCCAAGGTGGGGCCTGAGCGACGGCCAGTCAGTGGAGAACGCCTCAACTTGTGAGGGACCGGGGAGGGCTTGAAGGGACCCACGTGGGCTTCCGCACGCTGTGGCTCAGCAGGCAGTCCTGCCTCCTCCTCTGCTTCCTCCTCACCGTCCCCCTCCTCATCATCACAGCACAGTGCGTGGTAGAGCACTTTGTCACTGAACCGCACCCTCTCCCGCGTGCCCGGGGTCCGCTGGGGCAGCTGGTCCTTGGTGGGGCCCGCGCTGCTGAAGGCCTCCTCACTGGAGGAGTCTGGGGTCTCCACTCGAGGCCCATTGGGGATGGGCATACCACCATTCATGAGCCGGTAATCAGGACCAGCTCCTGTCCGGGCCGGCTCAGGGCCATTCACAGAGTCCGAGGGGGTGGACACGTCCAGGAAGGAGCAAAACTCCCAGCTGTCTGAGAGGATGTCCGCTGTCATGAAGTCCAGGTGGCCCAGGTCAAAGGGGCCACCTACACCTGCCTTGTCACTGCTGGAGGTACTGCTCACAGTGGCTGTGGTCCAATCATCTGGCTCCAGTTCAAAGTCGAAGTCTGAGGTCAGCTTATCAATCTGGCTCACCACCTGGCCAGGGAAGGGGAGAGGGGATGAGAGGCGCCAGGGGGTGTCTAGAATCCCTTAGGTATGAGTGCAGCCCCCACCCCCACTCCAGCTGAGGACCCTAGAGGGCAGTGACTGAATTTGTCACAGGTGTGTTGGCCCTGACGAGGGTCCCAATTTAAGCAGGGTGAACAGAGCTTGTTCTAGCCCTTCTCAAAGGCCTGCTTGCTCCTCCTTAGTTCATTGGAGCTCTGGAGACCACCTTCCAATCCTACGCCCCTCATTTCTTCACACACCCCTCTCCCCCAAAGTCAACCACTGTTCTGGAGGGCAGTCCTGGTGATCATGTCTTGATCTACCTTTGATTGGGAGGAGGCCATTTGGAATAAGCATTGGACTGCTAACTACAAGGTCGGCGGTTCAAACCTACCAGCTGCTCCTTGGGAGCTGTCTGTTCCCGTAAAGATTTACAGTCTCAGAAATCTCATGTAGGGCCCTGGCGTGGAGCTGTAGGATTGAAAGGTAGGTTTGAACTGCAAGGTTTGTGGTTCAAACTCACCAGCCACTCCTCGGAAATCCTATACAGGGTCACTATGAGTCCGAACCAACTTGAGTCAGAGTAAGGAGCCCTGGTATGGTAGTGAGATACGAGTATGGCTCTACCAGCTGCTCTGGGGGAGAAAGATGAGGCTTTCTGCTTCTGTAAAGACTTGCAGCTTCTGAAACCCAATACAGGGTCGCTATGAGTTGGAACTGACTCCACAGCCCACCTCCACCACATGAGTCAGAAACGATTCAACTGCAATGGGTCTGGTTTTGAGGAACTCTTAAGTGAGTCCCACTCAGTGAGGTGGTGAGTCCCCCACCAACCCACAGAGAGGAAATATGGGGTGGCCATGAGGAAGACCCTGTGGGGACTTTTGAAAGTCAGCGACTAGCCTCATGTGTTTCCCACAGCCAGTCAGGACGAGATGCCCCCGAAGACCCAGTGTGTGGCATGGCTGGGTTATCCTCCTCCCACGCCCCTTCCCCCTCCCCAGCCCACTGCCAAACAGAGATCAATCCTGGCTTGTTTGGAGAAGGAATAAAGCGAGCACTATTTGGTAAGCAATAAGGAAACCATCCATCCTCGACCCAGAGCTGCTTGTTCAATGATCTCAGGGGGCAGCTCAGCTGCTGAGGTCACTGGATCCTGCCTACCCAGTATACAGCGGAGCCCTCAGACAATGTGGCTGACAGGCCTCCGTACAGCCGAGCCTGCCTTAGTACACCCCCTTGCCTGGCCCCTGTCAGCACATGAATCAGGAAGGAAAATGGGAGGTATGGGAGAAAGGGGTGGATAGAACACCAGGAGAGAGAAAGGAGATTCTGGCTCAAGACAAAATCAGACCAAAAGCAAAACGGGAGAGAACCAAGAGCCAGGGCAACAGAGACCCAAAACAAAGAGATAAAAGGTGAGTCGCCAAGCGCAGAATCTAGCTCCCAGTGCTTTTCTAGTGTTCCTCACCTGGGTCAGAGCAGTCAGTTAGTTAATTAACTAATGAATTCCTTGATTCAGCTAACACTGACTGAGGACTTCTGCTCTCCATGGATTGTTCCTTGTTTAGCAAGGAGTAGGGGATCTCAGTGTCCCAATATGAAGGAGGAAAGCCAGAGCAAAAGGAGTTGGGCTCAGTGGGAAGGTTAGTCAGTCAGGAGTCAGATGACCCAACACAGGTGACCTAGGTCAGTCCTTTTCCCTTTCTAGGTCTCAGTTTTTCAATCTGTAAATGGGGTGGACTAGGTCTTTTTCATCTCTGAGTTTCTAGGTCTCCTTTCAGGAGTGACCTGAGAACTTGCTTTGGGAGGCTACACACCATGAATCCAGGGTGGGGGTGGGGGCACTTGGTGGAGGCTTGTGGAAGAGTTGGGGACTCAGGATACCTAGACTTAGCTTCGACATTGCTTTGTGTGACTTTGGGTCAGTTACGTAGCCTCCTCGGTTCTCAACTTCATTCTCCATCAAATGGGTCTGAAAATCTCAGGCTGCCAACCTCAGGGAGTTTTGTGAAGAACAATGAGAAGGACAGCTAAAGGGTCCTGTGGATGGTCAGCGATACAAGTGACATCATCTTTCCTCTCTTGAGCACCTACTATGTGGCAGGCGTTCAGCCCTGTTCATGAGTCACCATCATCTATGGGACTGTCATCTCTGAATAGGAGTCTAAGCTGCCCTTCATAACTGCACACTGCTAGGAGGTGTTGCTGTGTTCTCCTTGGTCCCTTTCCTAGGATGACTCCACCTACCTCACTGAATCCCTTGTTCATCCCCATCTCCCCCTGAGAACTGGTGGGAGCTACGGCCTAGGGTTAAACCAAACCAGTTGCCATCAAGTCCACTCAGATTCAAGACAAGCTCATGTGTGTCAGAATAGAACACTGTGCCACATAGAGCTTTTCTTGTTAACTTTTAATTTTAAACTAATTCTAGATTTACAGGAAGTTACAAAGAAAAGCACAGGAAGGGCCCAAGTACTCTTTACCCAATCTTAACCCAGTATGAATAGTTCGCTTGGTAACGTTAACTATAAACAGGTTGCCATCAAGTTGGTTCCAACTCATAGTGACCGTATTGTAGGGCTTCTGAGACTGTAAATCTATATAGGAGCAGACAGCCTCATTTTTCTCCTGAGGAGCAACTGGTGGGTTTTAAAAGTCAGTCGAGCGGTCAGTAGCCCAATAGCTAACATACCGGGCCACCAGGGATCCTTACCATTGACATGTTGTTGTTGATGTTATGTGCCATCGAATCAGTTCCGAGTTGGACTCTGTACAGGGTTTCCAAGGAGCGGCTGGTGAGCTCGAACTGTCGACCTTGCGGTTCAAACCAACATTGCAGTCGAGTGCATTAACCCATAGCGCCACTCCATTGACTATATACAATAGCAAAACCAGGAAATGGAGCTGGTAGTATTCTAAAGAACTTTCTCATGTTTCATCAGTTACACACTCATTTGTGTACGTGTGTGTGTGTGTTGTTGTCAGTTGAGTTGATTCTAACTTATGGTCACTCCATGCATGCAGAGTAGAACTGCTTTCCAAGCTTTCCAAGGCCATGATCTTCCAGAGGCAGGTGGCTAGGCGTGTCTCCCAACTCAATATGATTCTCAATGACTGATAGCTTAGAAATCCATCACCAGGCCTTTCTTCCAAGGTACTTTTGGGTAGATTTGAACTGCTAACCTTGTGGTTAGCAGCTGAGCACTTAACCATTTGCATCACCCAGGGTAGGGGTCCTCAAACCTGAGTGTGCATCAGCTCATCCTTGGAGGTTCTGATTTAGTAGCTCTAGGAGGGGGCTCAAGTAGGTGTGTATCTAACAAGTTCCCAGGTGATATTGCTGCAGCTGATCCAGAGACTATATTAGGGCTTTAAACAAGGCAAACACACATTGTCAGGGTACTGGAGGCCTCTGGGGCAGCCACATCCTCAAATTATGCTCCCCTGATCAAGTGAACTCTCTGGGTGATACAAATGATTCACACGCTTGGCTGATAATCAAAAGGTTGGAGGTTCGAGTCCTCCCAGAGCTACCTTGGAAGAAAGGCCTGTTGACTTACTTTCAAAAGGTCACAGCCATTGGAAACCCAGTTCTACTGGGACACACATGGGGTGGTCCTTAATGGAGGCTGCTAACTAGTTACTCAAGGTCAACCAGTTACAAGTGAAGGCTGGGGAGAGTCTCCTGCTGCTGCCTGAGTGTGTGGGGACAACAACAGTAGGGGTCTGGAGGTAAATGACTAGGCCTGATCTCACAGGCTTAGCTGTGGCTATGTTGAGCCTTCTGGTGCCTCCGTCTTGGCAGCAGAAAGAATCTGGATGTACAGAGCAGGAGCCCTAAAGCCTTCTGGCCTGGATATACTTCTCCAACCCCAGAAGCCCAAGCTTGCCATCTCCTAGTGACTTTTCTTCCCCAAGTTTTGGTTTCTTCCCATGTAAAATGCGATAATGCTCCCTTCCGTGTCTAGGGTGATGGGGATTTAACAGATAGAAATGCTCCCAAATCTGCAGCATCAGAACAGCCAAGAGCTTAAGAAGCTAAGCCCTGGAGCCACACCTAGGATTCAACTCTGACCCACCAATTACTGCTCTGAGCCTTGGCCAAGTCACTCAACCTGCCTGTGCCTAAGCTTCATTATCTATAGAAGGGGGATCTTCCAGTAGTAGCTCCCTGAGAGGACTGGTGTGAGGATTTAATACATGTAAAGCAGGTAGAACAATGTTGTTGTTGTTGTTGTTAAGTGCTTTTGAGTTGGTTCCGACTCATAGCGACCCTGTACAAGGTTTCTGAGGAGTGGCTGGTGAGCTTGAACCACCAGTCTTAAAGTTCAAACTGACCTTGTGGTCTAGTGCATTATCCCTCAGCCCCACACCAAGACTAGACCACTAATATCCATGGTCCCCTGGCAGATACCGTTAAGCACTTGACTTGGCACTGTAGGATAAGCTGGGTTTGAACTGCAAGGTCGTCGGTTCAAACTCACCAACCGCTCCTCAGAAACCCTATATAGGGTCATTATGAGTCAGAACTGACTTGACAGCACTTAACAACAACAACAACAACCACCCAAAAGGTTGGAAGCTTGAACCCATCCAGAGAGCCTCAGGAGACAGGCCTGCTTCTTAGAAGTCACAGCCTTGAAAAGCCATGTGGTAGCTCTTCTCAATGGCAACTTAACAACAACAAAATGTCCACCATGCCCCAATGGGCACTAACAGGACCAGGCCGTGACACCAGGTCCAAGTGATGGGAGTCAGCTCTTCACTAAAACGATGACACTCTAGAGGGGAGATTTCCAGTGTCTGTGGCAGGAGAATGGCGAGATACTGGATCTTTCAAACTCCAGCGCATTGGTGGTGGTTTTTTGTTAGGTCCCTGGTGCTAGCGGCATCCTCACAATTGTGCTTGAACCCATTCCTGCTGCCTTTGTGCCAATCCATCTCGTTGAGGGTCTTGTTCTTTTTCGCTGAGCCTCCACTTTACC